TGAAGGCGCGCCGCTCGCCCGCTCCTTCGAAAGGACCTTATTGTGATACAGACAGCAATCCTTTGATAAAATTCATATTTTGTCATCGAAATACGACCTCATAGCGTCAGATTTATTGCCAAACAGGTATGATGATGCAGATTTATTACCAAAGACTTACAGAACGACATAATACAGAATCAAAAGCAGAACACAACAGGCAACAACTATAATAACATCAACACCTTTTACGCTAAGCACTCTCTTGAAAACACGTAAAGCACAGCAGCCATGCTGATACTGAGAAAGCGCTGTTAGATACCGGTAAGAGTGACCTGATTGAGCAAAAAAACCGGAATCCTGTCAGAATCATGACACTGAGGCAGTGAAGACGGAGATCTTGAAGAACGCTTGCAGCAAAGTACCTTATGTTACGAAAGATGAAACACTAAAGATGAGACACTGAACAATACTTGAAGAGAAAACACAAAAAGAAAAACCTAGACAAATCAATTTTTCCTGGAGGAGACGTTGGAGAGGAAATTACGCAGATGTTGACAGGTGTTAGCTGATGATTGAGTTGCTGCTACGTAATCCTTTTTCGGTTAGTAACTTCCTTCTCTTCGGCTGGTGCGGCACGTTTCTGGCGCTGAAAGAAGTGTCAAATCATTATTTAAGTATGCACAAATTCTCACCTTATTAGCTATCCATTTTCCTGACTCGTAATTGTAGGACCCTATATCTCGTCTGAAATCAAATTCTTAATCAGTGTGAAATTTGTAAGGGATCTTTGGACTTATAGAGCCATTTGGAGGGATTGAATAGTTGAGGTCGCCAATCTTGGCGCTGTTTTCTTAGCTCAGCCAGCGCTTCCATTCTTTCCTTTTCGGTATTTCCAAGGTTTCTGTAAAATCTGAAACGCAAATCTTTTGGTTTTTGCGGATCCTGTTTTAGTCACTCACAAAGACTGATTCAAGTCCAGGTTATTCCATGACTTACATCATGACTCACCCTCTGTAATAAAAAACGGTACAATGAACATAACTGTTGAAATGTGTTGTGCCTCGGACTTCCTTGCGCGTAATCTGCTGCGCTTTGGCAGTTCCGGCGTTCAGGCGGATTTGGACGTAGTCGGGCGGGTTCGGGCGAATTCGGACGTATTCGGGCGGATTTGGACGGGTACAGGCGCGGCCTGAACGATCCCTTAGTCTCGTATCTGATATTCTCTTGCTATTTTTATCTTGTCTCCTTCAAGGTTTCAACAAAAGAAAGATTGCGTGTTCGGCAACGAGTTGGACAGAGTTCGTAACGACGTCGTATAAATATCTACGCTCGGAATAAAGAAAACAAGAAAATTAGGCAAAAGAATGAAAAAGTTGGAGCAAGTACCAGTTGAAACTCAACGATGATATTTACTTCATATATGAGTCTTGAAGAGAAGTTGAAAGGCTTGAGATGAAAGGATCCAAAGAGGGTAAAGTACTAACGAAAAGGTCGTGAAAGATAGGCAGATTGATGCAATGGAGAAGAAAACAAAAAGAACTCAAGGACTGGAAAGAGCGACGACGGGATGAGGTGACCAGCCTTCCACGAACGACGAAGATTTCAAAATGATGTATTACGCGCGGAAAAACGTCGTGTCATGATGAACGGGTCCTGACACGTTCATTGGGGCGCCGCTCGCACGGTCACTCACGATGGCGCGCCGCCCGCCGAAAGCAAGGTACGCCGCTCGCACGGCAGGTTTCGATAGCGCGCCGCCCGTGGGAAACGCTGCCACGCCCACAAATCTAGGCGCGCCGGTCGCACGGTAAGCTGCTGAAAGCGCGCGGGCCGTCGGAAAAAGTGTCTGAGGTGGCTCTATGTATCGAGGGTATGCCTGTAGCCCTATTTCCGCGACAACGCCATCATGTTTGCCAGCTACTTATAAGCTCTAGGACAATTTCAATATAGAAATGGAGGTGTCGGAAATAATTAGCCCGGTCTCAGCTGCAGGCTGGAACACAGCCACTAGGCTCACTGAAAGTGGGAGCACCGAACCGACGGGTTCGCCACTTCCACTAACTACCCCCCCCCCATCCTCTGTTGTATTTATCTAACGTATCGTGGTAAACTTATTTATAGTCGAGTCTTTTGTACACGCTTCGCTACCCAACATCGGGAAAGGGGGTGTATGTCAAGAGGCGCGATTTTTATTGTCAGATGGACACCAAATAGCACATAATAAGTGTTTTGAAACTTTCTAAAAGTATCCAAAATTTAGAAGGAGATATATCAGATGGTTGCATGGGTTATTCGGTCTTGATACCTTGAAATCAATTCAAAACAGCAATTTTGAAGGCCAAAAACCTTTTAAAATGCAGCCAAGAACAAATTCGTTGATATTTCGGTTCCATTCCAGCAAAAGCCACCAAACTCAGCAAGTTGTAACCTTAGACAGAAGTCTAATGTCGGCAAGCTAATGCAATTTATCTGGTGTTTTTGGAAGACTCGTATAGCACCAAGCTGAAGTTTTAGTTGGTGACAGCCGGAGAAATCGCGCCTCATGACCGTCTCCCGAGAAGGGGAACCGCAGACGTTGAAGCCGACAGACCAAATATAAATTCAGTCTTATAAGATACTAGCTGATTTTCCCGGTCTAGACCGGGTCCTTCAGCTGATGCTTGCTCAGCTCCTCCCCCCCCCCCCTCCACCGCGCCTCCCCTTCCCACCTAGCCATTATGCTGCGCTGCAAAGGTTTTTTGTATCAAAGTAACTCACCAGCTGTGGGCTCGTCTTGAATCACCGCATCCTCCCTACCGCGAAAATCGAATGAATCTACTGCTATTGTTTACATGAAATCATGGAAATGACTTGTTAGCCGATGTCGAGAACTCATTCTTATGCCAAAAATCAATAATCAATAGAATGGTCCAGCGAATCGCCGCAAAAGTGGCGCTAAACCACCTCCGGGGTCGAATACATAGGTATGTGTGCAAAGTTCCAGCTCAATCGGTTCGCATTTTTACTACAGGAAATGCACTTTTTCGAAAGGAAGACTCTGCAAGCAAATTGTGGTCTCGCTGGTATGAGATTGGTCAGACTGGTCAAAGATTCTGTGGGCCAAGTAATCTGAAAACAACTCTTATCTTCCATGGAAATTTTCTGAAATGCAGAAAATGCACTTTTTTCAAAAAAATTGCGAGCAAACTATGGTCTCGCTGGTAGTATAATCGGAACCCTTTGAGGCTGAGTACTGAAAAATATTGTTTTTTTTTTATGAAGATTTTGTGATGATCTCAAATTGAGGAGCATTTTTACTGCAGAAAATGTACTTTACACAAGAAAAAGTCTGCAAATAAACTGTCGATTCGCTGGTAGTGTAATCGAAACTTTCTGAAGCTAAGAATTCAAAATAAAATTCTTTATTCACAAAAAATTCTTTTCCATGGGAATTCTGTGAAAACTCAGACTAGGGAGCATCTAACTACCACAACCGAAATGCAAGAAGATCGGCTTGCAATGAACTCTTAACATTTGTTTTGTAGCAGTTAGATCGCGACGATCAAATCGCGTGAACTTTGCCCGAGGCCTAAAGCTGAAAGTCAAAATCTAAGAAGTTTGTTTGGAGAAATGCCTTGTGCATTTTTGCCACGAAGAACTTTTGCTGATTGGTTTGCGTGCACAGCGTAGATTGCGACATTTCAAACCTTGCTCCAGGACACTCACGTTGTGCTGCCTCTTCCGCCTCTACAATCCGAAGCGATTTTCTCCCTTCGAAGTTCATCTTCTGCAGATGCCTTGACTTCAAATGAAGTTGCGTTCAGCGCATGCAAATCCTTAAGCACCACTATGTTTGAAGGTCCAATTAAAAGCGGTTCGCCTTCAAAGTTTAAAGATCAACAAAATTGTACAGTTCTTCTCCCGACGAATAGACCGACTTCAAACGACCTTGATCGAACCTTTTGAATGGCGCACTTTCGGCGACAACTCTGCTCTGACAAGTTACAATCTCCTCAATTGCCATCACATATCAAATTTCCGGGAAACTTGTTAATTACGATCAGACCTGCTCTATAACGATTTTATCATCATTTGATGATAAAGAAGAACTGTCATCACTTCTCATTCTGTCAAAACATCTATAAAAACACAAGAACACAGACCTCAACTTTTCAGAAATGCTTGTTATTTTTCATCTGCAACAACTGCAAGGCTAAGGCCCGTATGCACGTACATCCCCGCGGGGAGGGGAGGGGATCTGAGAGGGGAAGCGTCATATCTCGCTAGTTTACATATCTTTCTTCTTCTTTCTCTGTCTTGCTTTTGAAGGTTCACATACACTGATACTTGCGCATAACGGATGCCAGGTTACTGCCATACAAGATTAGATATTCACTATTTCGTCTGATCCCCTGGGGATCCCCAGGGGATCACCGCGTATTTTCAAAGTCATTTATCTTCCTGAAAATCCACTGAAAATGCTGTAAAATTGTACTAACGATATACTACAGCAGTGCTAAACATGTTTATGGTAGAAATGAGTGAAATCTCGAGATATCAAAATTTTCGATGAACCGCTGCTCGCGACCCAGGGATTATCGAAAAAATCAAAATCTTCATAATCCATCTCTTCTGTCGAAAACATGCTCAGCAGTATCATAGTATATCTTCAATACAATTTTGCAGGGGTTTTATTGAGTCTTCAGGGAGATAAATGACTTTGAAAATGTGAGGTGATCCCCTAGGGATCCCCAGGGGATCAGACGAAATAGTGAATATCTAATCTTGTATGGCAGTAACCTGGCATCCGTTATGCGCAAGTATCAGTGTATGAGAACCTTCAAAAACAAGACAGAGAAAGAAGAAGAAAGATACATAAACTAGCGAGGTATGACGCTTCCCCTCTCAGATCCCCTCCCCTCCCCGCGGGGATGTACGTGCATACGGGCCTAAAACTGACTTCGAATTTGAATTGAAATGCGCACTTTTCGCGCCGCAAAGCAGCCGTTGTGCAACTGCAGACGATTTCGCATTCAGTCGTGCATGCTCATATTTCGAAGTCAAAATCAAATCGAGCTCGGCTTTTTCAACGTTCTTTATTTTATTATGCTTCTTAGGTAGGTGCAGGATATGTCCAAGTGACTTTCTTGTCTTTCTTTACTATATGGTTTGCGATATACTACTTTCTAGTAGGTGATTATGGCTGTTGGAGCTGAACGAGGAGAACACTGTGATTTGGATGAAACAATTGGAACGTTGAAGAGGTGTTTGAAAATTGTCTCCGAACAGTCTGATGCTGAAACTAGCAATTCCACTGAAGCGGTATGTTGACCATTTTCTGCGTTTATTTTGAACTTTGTTGCTTTCACACTTTGCGTTCAGGAAGGTTTCTCATAACTTATGATCACAAACTGTTTCAGTGTCCTTCAACGCACGCAAATAGTCCGTGGCCTCGAGATCAACACATGTTTAGCCGCGACGAACCTAGTGGCAATGAACGCGCATCAACTATCAAAGTTGTGGATTATAAAGTGAGTCCTTCAAATTTTTGCGCTTTCGTTTTATGCTATTATATCTTATCTGCTCACAGTTATGCTTTCGTTGTAAAGATGCAGAGGTACTTCACTCAGCGGGACTTCGAAATCATAATACCGGGTTTTGCTGAGCGTTTGTTCGGGGGATTTGTCTTTTTAATAGTATGGCAGTGCATTCTTTCGAGACGGTGGTGGTAGGGTAGATCAGTCAAAATCCCAATCTTGCAGATCCGTACTAAGTTTCTGTGAAGTTGCGGATTGTTAAACCCACTCTGATAAGCAAAATGTCCTTCAACACAGTATCAAAGTATAGCCGTATACAGAGTATCATAACCGTATTTGCTGAATACTGTTATGATACTGTCCCCTCAACAAGTTCCGAGCATATGGGATTCAACTTTGCACACTCATCCTACCGTAACCCCGTAGATGGCGCACCGTGCAAGATCATTGTGTAACTCGTGGCATTATTGAAAAGCACGATTTCCTGGAAATCGTGCTTTACAATAATGCAGATTTTTGGAAAGGAGTACGAGATCTTTTGCATGATCTTGTCACAGATATCAATTATACTTTGGAAAACTGCTTTTTGTCACTTGTGAGCTGAGCATGAATTATTTGAACTCTATAGATGTAGCTTATGTTTCAATTGCTGTTGCATATAACGCAGGTTCTCTTCTTGGGATCTGTCAAACTTCTCCGGGAAAAGCCCAAAAGCGCTTAAAAAAGCCCAGAAAAAGCCCAAAAAACCCAGAAGAGCCAGAAAGAGCCGGAGCGCCCCTTTCCGCGCGCACGTTTCGACGCTAAGGCATGTGTGTTGATTTTGCAACCGAGTCTGTTTTGGTTCATTTTCTGTCATCTGCACATCAAAATAATGTCAGAATTTTACCAAAAGTTCGTTCTGCGTTCCGGCTCTTTCTGGCGCTTTGCTTATTCGGGCTTTTTCTTCTTCTTTGGGCTTTTTTGAGCGCTTTCGGGCGCTTTTGGGCTTTTCTCGGCGAAGTATGACGGGTCCCTTTACGTAGAAAACTTTCACGGAACGCATTGCTTTAATTTACGCAATTTGCGCAGCGCTTGCAAGCTGACCCATCTCTTCATTTTTCTGCGAAGAAGTGAACACGTTAAATGACATGTTGCAGGATGAAACCCAGATTGGAGATATCATGCGCCTCATAACCAAAGATCTCAGTGAGCCGTACTCGATCTACACCTACAGATACTTCATACACAATTGGCCAGAGCTTTGCCTTTTGGTAAGTTTGTCATCTGGTACAATTCTAGGGTGGCTGTCTTCTCTCGAATTGTTAATTATTCAGGCATACGATACTGTGTCGGAAGCGTACGTTGGTGCAGTTGTTTGCAAATTGGACAGGAATGCTGAGGGTAGGAGGAAAGGCTATCTAGCAATGTTAGCGATCGACGAGTCGTGTAGAAGACTTGGTCTTGGTAAGAAAACCTATATAATTTGTGTTCTTTCCTTGTTCAATAATGTTAGTTCTATCTGACTATTTCTTTTGCTCAAACTTTCTTCGCAAATGCGTAATAGTGTTGCATCGGCACACTGTGCTCATCTTTGAAAATAAGAGTTATCGTTCCGCTGATCCGCATGTTCAACAATAGCTCGTGTGGAAATAATCGTTTTTATACGAGGAAGACTCTGTGACGGTTGCTTTGAGAGGTGAAAATATTGTTTCACATCGGTTCGCTGACTTCAAATCTCCCTCTGACCGATTATGGCTTTTTCTTCCCCTCACTTATAATTGGGAGTATCATCAGTACAAGTTCAGAATTCAGCCGGATGAGAAACATCTTCCACTCTTGAGCTAGTGCAAGTTTTTGCGAATGTTCTGTAGTGAGTAGAAGGTTGCTCGATTGATTAGGTTGATCTCATTCATCTAAACATTACGGTTTTTGAAAAAAAATGTCTGTGATTCTCTTGCGAAAATTGCCTATAGACAAGTCGCAGATTTTGTGCAGTTTTTTCACTGAAAGTCAAATCTGTGATTTTCCTCGTTTATTCATGCGAGTAGCTTTTGTTTTCAGCTGCAGTGCTAGTTTGACTTGTAAGAATAAGAATAATCTTTATTATCAGCTGTCACCATATTATTGTCTCGGAATTCTACAGGTTGTGCATACATGCACAACGACTTTCTGACATTATAAGCTACTGCACTAAAACCAATTTTTTTCGTACGTTTAATGTAGTTTTTTATCAAATGCGCGTGCTATGAGTGATCAATATACAATATGAAAGTCTCAAAACTGCTTTGTTCTATTTGATAGTCTCCTCGTTCAGCAAGTATCTGTTCTTGCTTTGTAGGAACAAGACTTGTTCGTCGAGCTATTGAACGAATGGAAGCACAAGGATGTGATGAGGTGGTGTTGGAAACAGAGGTCACAAATGTCAATGCGCAACGACTTTACAGTAATTTGGGATTTATTCGGGAAAAGCGTCTTGTGAGGTGGGCTTTATCCTAATTATCATTTTCAGCTCAGTATTTCATTTTGTTTTGATTCTTAGTAGTCGTGTTGCAGATATTACTTGAATGGTGGCGATGCTTTTCGTTTGAAACTATACTTCTCCTCACCGATGGCTGTTGCGAGGAAAGCTTCTTACGTGTAGATTGCTCTCCACCCAATCACAGAGGCTGCGTCAAAAGCAGAGTTGTATATATTAATTTGCTCAATCGTAGCAAACATTGCTTATAGAGTGAGATTTATATTAGAGTTCTTCGCATTCGTTTTCATCAGATGTTTTGCATGAACAATGAAATTGGTGATTTATGTTTGATACATCAACAGTTCAATACAGTGTTTTCTGGCTTTCTCATTTCGAAGCGGAGTACAGCATGGCGCACGAAATGTTTACTGCCGAAGCTGACTAGACCTTGATGTAATAATCAGGCTTTGTAGAGGGAAAGACTATCAAAGAGACCTGTTTGGGATCACCTTTGGGTTTACCATGTGAATTTCAGTGTGTCTACTAGCGAACTTAGGAAGCTACATTGGTGTATCATGAGTGATAGTGTAACCAATTCCGCGGAAGGACCCTGCAAGCGCGCAAATTGCGCCGACGGTTTGGCCTGATCCCGATTGGAGCAGACCGTAGGGATCCTTCAGACCGCGCCGGAATCCGTCCAAACCTGCCCGAATACGTCCAAACCCGTCCAAATAAGTCCGAAGCCACCTGAAGGTCGGAATTGCCAAAGCGCAGCGGATATGCAGCAGACTGGCATATTGGAGCACGCGTGGAATACTGCGCGCATAGTGCATATATCTTAGTCACACGTAGCTAGACGTTACATACCGATCTTCTTTTGCTACAATTCGGATATTAGAAGGATCATTCGCACGCGTGCTCCAATATGCCAATTTGCATGCAACCTGCCGCGCTTTGGCAGTTCAGACGGGTTCGGACGTATTTGGGCGTTTGACGTATTCGGGCGGGCGGGTTCCGGCGCAGTCTGAACGATCCCGTACATTATTGTCCACTGTGGTCTGCTCAGCATGGCGTGCTGGTGTCTCTGGGTGTCGAACTGCGATATGCAGTCGAGTGCATACTGTGGCAGGGTCTTCCGAGCAGTGAAGGAGTTCGATTCGACGTTCTCGATGTTGACTTCGTTGGATGGGTTTAGCTAAAACCAGACTCGGCCAGATCGCCCTCCATCTCATGTGACTTTAGGTAAACGCTGCCGGTTTTCCAGTTCACCTTTCAGAGTTGGGATCGCCGTGTAGGACAAGAACGAAGTCTAGTGGGTCTGTTTTGGAGAAAAGTTTGATTACTCGGGGAGCAAGAAGTAAGAAAACTTCGCTTGCATCTAACCCAGATTACCATGCGATAACAAGACCGCTGTCAGGTGGCTTGGAGCGCCACTTGGTTCGGAGCACATTAAATGGGGTGGAGGACTATATGTCGCCGAATTTGGGAGAGTCCCGCGCGGATTCCCTGCAGGAACGCATGTCCGCGCATGTACAAGGATGCGTATTTGTCGCAAATGACCGCGGGGACCGCCCTTTTTCGGCGACATATAGTCCTCTACCCTATTAAATGCCACATCATCGCTTTGCAGCAAATGAATTCAGGAAGAACTTGCGGCAGATGAGTGATGGGACCCTTATCATTTGTGGTAAGTCCCATCACGAAACGTTCGAGATGCTGGTTTTGTTGTCCATCTATCTATCTTCCATTTTGTCGATTCGCAGATTCTATTACCTTGACTCCATCTTACGACTATGATCCCCACGCCGGAAGACCACCAGCATTATCAACTGCTACTTCCCAACATCAGTAACGACAAATTAGAATTAGATGCTTTTTACAAAGACTTTGAGAAGGTCATTCGTAACCGAAGTCCTTCTATAAGTTTGTTGTGGACACTGCAACGGGAAAGTCAGGATGCCGTAGACGAATGAATACAGAATTGGAAGCCTTTTTACGGGCTGTTTCGTTGGGCTTCTCTCGCCGCATCGAGTTACCTGTGGATATCCCATCTTTATGAAGAAGGAACATTGTTGCTGGACATGGGCAACGCAACGAAACGACTCGCGGGAGATCGAATGCATTCTCACCAATAGAAGGTGGAGCTCGCTCAATGTCTCAGTAGTTCCATCGTTCTGCAGTGGCCCCGATCAAAGCGCCTCCTTTTAGAAGATACAATTCAGTCGAAGGCTGAAAAAAAAAGTCTGTCACAGTGCCGCGAGAAGGAAGGAAGTTGTTTATGACGGTAACAGGCTGGAAGAGCTCATATCAAGTTGTGTCTGGCTCAGCAAGAACGATCCAACGTAGACTACGACCGGCTTCTGAAAGGATTGCGAGCCTGCGGAGAGTGCACCTCAGTGACTCCTGAGAAGAATTTGGAACGTATTTTGGGGACCACCAAGGAATTGCTCGATAGAAGAAGATTTCTGAGGCAGGATCCGAATGCAATCCATCTCGAGCAAGTGGCCAGCTCCAGTTGCAGAACAGCTTTGCAGGAGGATCTCAGGTAGTACAGGCAAGCCAAGATACTGGAAGCAGCCGAAGGACGACGAAGTCTTAAAAAATGCCGAAGGGACCTCTGTGAATATCACGTACCGCTGGCTGCACTATTGAACGAAGACGGAAGAAGGGTCTATTGCGAAGAACTTCTACGCCAACCTTTTCAGTTATCAACATCCCTCCCAAAGCCCGTTGTTCCCTACTACTGATGAGTTATTGAATGAGTACCACCACGGATACCTGCTGAAGTGTGCATCGCGGTTTAGACTGTGAAGACATGCAAGGCTTCAAACTCAGATCACCTTTTTGTCGAGCTTTTGCAATTCGGAGAACGCCGATCTACGTGAGTTTTTGCGGGGTATTGATATCGACCCTTTAAAAAAGGATCTTCGACTTGTAAAAATCAGCGAGAAGCTTCTTTCCCTTCGAGAAAGACTAACAAGAGGATCTTTGAAATTATTGTTTAGTATGTCTGCTGAGTGTGCTCTACAAATCTTTCGTAAAGATCATCCTCGCTCAATTAAAGACAATGAATAAAACACTGTATTGGAAGTAAAACGCCGATTTTGTAAAAACTCTTTGAGTTGACATATATCTGAAACTTCGTCAAACGCCATCTTACATATAAAGCTGAATGTCTGTTTGTCTGTCTGTATGTCTGTATGTCCACCTGTCTGTACGTATGTTCCGAATAGAAAAATCCATTTCTAAATTGATCCGTACCAAATTTGGCACACATACACTTCGAATCGGGGCGGGTGTCGTAGGCTACTTTTCGTCATCGATCGAGATCGATATCGATTTTTTGTAAAGTTTGAGCTACAGGTGGTAGTGGGCACAGGGGTAATTGAGCATGCTGATTACGAATACAGTATTAGTACCGATTTTATCGATTTTTTTGCTTTGAGCTACGGGTTGGAGTTGGCTGAGTTGGCACAGGGTGGTGATCGAGCATGCTGATTACTAACACAGCGGAGATAGGGAAAGGTGGGCACAGCGAAAGGTTGTGCAGGGATAGGGATAAGACCTTTATCATAGTGTTGACAGGGCCGGTCGGAGCCGGGTTAGCCAGCTAGTTTTCAATAAATTATGTGCATTTTTGAAGTGATAATATTTATCTGTCTGTGCGTAATTTGAAAAAAGTTTCTCATCCTAACTAGGATGTTTTCAAGTGTAAAGCACCGAGTTTCCTTTCTATGTTTGCGGTACCTTTTCGTTCGTGATTTCCCCATTTGACATACTCTTTCGCACGTCCAAAAATGGAAGCCGCTTCTCTTTTAATCTTCTTTGTTTTTTTTTTTGAGAAATTGGATCAACTGTCAGAAAAGATGCGTTCATTTTGCAAAGCGTATGTATTCCCCAACTGGAACTTATTGGTTCCTCGACTTTGGGCTGGCATTGATAGCCGAAACTGGAATTATTCTTTCCCTCATGTTTGATCTTCTAATCCATAGCATAGATCCGACCAGCGAAATCAGGACATCAATGATTTGCTAAAATTTGCAAAAAAATTGTTATTTTTTAATGTTATCAATCGCTTTTATTACCATAACTTTAGGTAGCAATTTATCAGAATCCGTTATACTAAACAAAACTTTATTACAATTTTACACATCAGATCGACAAAATTACATAAACAGACATGAGATCGAATTTTTGTGAGTATCACAATTGGAGATGATGTGAGTGGCCCTGAGTTTCAGGAAGTGAACAAGTTATACCCGATAGTGGAAATGTGATTCTGGGATGCTCGTCTATGTGAGGTACAAAGACTTCAGCGAAGCTAGACATGAGTAGAAGGTTCGGAGAACGATGGACTAGGGCTGATACGAACGCTAAGACCCATCAACGGACTTTGCGCGGTTTCATCGTGGCTTCTGGTCGTGAGCGTGAGCGGACTTCTGAAAAATAATGAGTTTAGAAGAGTAGTTCTAGGCTGGTTAAGGCTAAGGCAGTTCCTCCCCCCCCCCCCTCCCTTCTCCACAATAATGTGTCGCAAAATTTTCAAAACTTAACTGCGTGGGTACCAGATTGTGTAAGTAACTTGTTCCTTTGAAAACAGAATATTTACAAATTTTCTCAAAAAATTCGAAAGATTTGTGAGAAAAACTTTTCGAGGGCGTTTCTGCCGTCATACCTCCTTTTATCTCCTTTTACATTCTGAGGTTATAGACCTACTAGAGAGTTAAGAAGCATACCAAAATATCTTCACGGGAAGTGCTTAACGCACTACCCCCTCTTCAAATTGCTTTCGAGCCCCCTTTCCTTAAAAATAAATGGCTAAATTTTTGGCAAGAAAATTGCGAAAATGACTTGTTTCAATTTGTAAGTCATTTAAAATATTTTTCAGAACTCTTGAGAATTTGAGTGAAATTTACAAGAAAGTTCTTTGGGGAAGTGACGCTCCTCCTCCTTATTTTCGTGTTTTCAGAGCTATAAGCTTTCCAAAAATTTCAAAAGCATCTCAAAAATTTTCCGGTGGACGTGGCTTTCAGACGCCCCTCCGCCGCCCCAAAAAATTTTCTCGGACTCTGCCTAATGGTAAAATTGGATTTTAGAAATGTAGTCGACACTTACTTATAAACTGTTGATGTGCATTTTTCTGGATGACTGAATGAAGCTTGACTAAGTCCAACAATAACCAGCAACTGCTTCCTGAAAAAAAAAATTCGTGAAGAAGTCTAATGAATAATAAGAATAATAGATAGGGTTTTTCGGATAAAAATTTTCTTCGTGCAAAAGCAAAGTGACTAAGTTCAAAAAATTAAGCTTTGTTTTGCTTTCTAGAAAAAACTTTGTAAACAGGAAAAGTTTCCTGAGTTTCATGGAAAAAGATCAAGTGCTGAATTTTCAATAAACAAATCAGCATCAATCATCGACCAATTTCGAAAATAATATTAATTCAATCTTTGCAAAATCGAAGTGAATAAGTTCAAAAATTTTACTGGTAATGTTTCTGAACCCAAGAAATGAGAAATAATCCAAAACATACCTGATTGTTTCCGAACATAACAGCAATAGCACCGGATTCAGAGCAGAATTTGTACAAAACACGAGCATTACCGTACATCCGGCCCATTTTCCTTCACCCGTACCGACTGTGATCACTATTTGTCCGGCGATAAACACTATCATATTGATAACACAGGGTAAAAGCAACCTGAAACAAAAAACTCATGTCCAATTTTCTTCCAGCAAAAAGGAGAATCTAACCTGCTTTCAATTCTACTTCCACTAATGTGGATCTGAGTACTGGCTTTCACTGCAGTACGTCGACGATGTATGAGGAGAACAAATGACCAGCTAAAAGTTCAGATTTAGATTTCACATTTGACTCACAATTGATTAATTGATGGTTAACCGGTAAGGCTTTCATTACTCTCTTTTGAAGAATTCTGTGATAAGTTATAAAGCTCAATCAAAGTGGGGTTAGAAGGGAAATCAGTGGATTTTGAGCTGAACTGGTTGATCTTTTCAGAGGAGTTATGCTTAAATGGATTTCTAGCTCAAGATAGCCCACCCTCCTCCTCCTCCCCCCTAAAAGAAAAGTTTTTGAAATTATTGAGAGTGGTCTGCAAGACCTACAAAAATAGGCGTATTTGTTTTATTTTTAAATTTTCAAGGTCACACAGCTTCCATAAATATTCGAGCTGCTTTAAACAACCTTGTGGGGGGGGGGGGGGGAGGCGCTGTTGCAACTTCCACGGTTAGAGAAGCATCACAAAAACCTCTGAGTTCAAAAAAATTCTGATGTAACTTCCCTATCTCCGAAAATTTTTTTCTACAAGATCGCTTCTATAAGATCCCTTCGAAGATTTTGTGAGATTTGAATGCTTCATGGGATTCACAAAAAAATTAGGGAGAACTACGAGATTTCTGAACGATGCGGTCAATGCCATGCCGCTTTAGAAAGATTTCTGTTGTGAGCCCCCCCCCCCCTCTCAAAAATTTTTTGTGAATGGCCCTGTAAAAAAAAGTAGAAGAATTTAAAGTTTTATCCCCTTTTAAAAAGAACCCGCACTATTTGAAATCCGCGCACAACTTTAGGGATGTCAAATATCATTTTTCAATGCAAAACGGTTGAAACAATGTTTTCACGAAAAATGACTAAACATTATGAACGAAGATCACCTTATTCTATGTACTAGAGAAAATGCCCCCCCACCCCCTCCCGCAACTCCTAAATCAGATAACGTAATGCTGCTTCTAATTGATTTCAAAGCAGTTTCCGTTCAGAAGCGAATTAACTAGATCTAAGGGAAAACCGCAGAGAGCATACAAATGATGGCACAAATTAGCACCACTTATGTCATAGAACAAGTAATTTGACTTACGTATAAAATATGACCGGCGGAATGATGGCAGCTAAATGGTAGAGTAAAAACATCGCTGATTGACCGCCTGAGAGGTAGAGAGCAAAATCCTCGGCTAACATGCCGTACGACGATGGTTCATAGTAGAATGTGACGTACCATGGTTGGAAATGGGTGGCAAGAACCTGAAAAAGAGTTAGAATAAAAAACGAGGAAAATGGAAAAGTGGGCTGCAAAAAAGGAAAGGGTAAAATTTTAGCGCATGATGTTAGGATTTTTCACAAAGGAAAGAACAAGTGATAGGCCCTTAAAAGAATGAATAAATAAACAAGGACATGTAACTTGTGACTTTTCACTGAAGTAGTAAATGATGAATAAATGCGTTCATGCACAGAAAAGCAATGAGATTGTAGATAAGAAGCAAGTAAGTCAGTAAGTAACCAAGTTGGCGCAAATAAAATTGATCAGAGAGCGAACTTAAACAGCTTTGTGATTAATTCCAAAAAAAGCGTGTTGGGCATTGGTATGATAGTCATAAACAAAGTTTTCAAAAAATGGAAAACTGGAAAAACTGGAAAATAAATTTCAAAGAAATTGCGGATGAATGAACCGTAAATGAGTAAATGACCATAGATTCCCAAAAGAATTTGAAGAAATCGAGTCTAGACGACATATTGCTCAATATAAATTTTATGAAACGGGAAATATGTTCCGAAATAAAATAATTAAATGATTTTTTTCGATGATAGGTAATGACTGGACGACTTGAGTGTGAATTGAAGGTTGATAAAATGAGATGAGTGAACAAATAAATGTCAACGAAAAAACGTTGAATGAGAAAAAGAATGTAGAAGAATTATAATGAAGTAATGAATGACTGGATGATTACAGCTTTTTCGAACTCTTTGAAAGCGCTTACAATCAACCGACTGACTGTCTCTTACTTTGATAATTACGTGAAACAGGAATTTCCTATCAAAACAATCGATCGGGGCAAATGAATGAATGAAGTGAATACACGTTGACGACGAGCTTTTTTTTTAAGGTCTGTCCCTGTGGGCGGGACTTTCTCTGCATTCCTATGCCTGGCAGCATGTATGTATGCATGCATCCATGCACGAAATACAAAATGTGCAAGCTCCGCCCTCATGTGGCAAGCTCCGCCCCTCGGCCAAAAACGTCGGCCCAAATTTTGAGAGTTTATGCAGATTCTGTCACTTTTGAAAAATGGGCGAAGCTTGCCACTTAGGGGGCTGAGTTTGCTCGACGGTGGGCGGGGCGGGACTAAAAGTTGCTTGATGTCTTTGCGTTCATTTACTGCCTCATTCATGCTTTTTATGATCAAAAAGGGTAACTGGAGAGGCATGGGAGTGGGCGGAGTTTGCCAAAAGGGGCGGAGCTAATACATGAAGTGCATCTGAGCCTATGTTGATTACATGAACAAATCTGAGAGGATTGGACAGATAGCATTGAAATTAAGGCCGCTGCGCACCATTGTGCGGCGTCGCTCAACGAGATAAATAATATAAACTGAATGAGTGAATGAATGAACGAGTGAATGAATGAATGAATGAATGAATGAATGAATGAATGTTAATGAATATATGAATGAATGAATTAATTAATTGATTATTTCTTACCTCAATTAGAGCTATAACATAGCAACAAGCGCATAACGCATAGGAGTAACGTCTCCTCTGACAGCGAAACGTGTGAGGTGCACGAATTGCTGACCATCTGGACCATCCTACCAAGGTATAGTGCCATACCATTGAAAACCAGGCCCAGTCGAGGTATAACTAAAATAAATCGATCAATTGATTTTTTGTAGCAAAAAATAATCAACAGTGTTGAAAAATTCCATATTCGCAAAATGGCTTTCCCACAATTTTAAGAAAACCTACTTGAAGCCAATGACGTGCACCTACTGGTATCAACTCTGATTTGAAAAGTATTGTCAAACCAGGCCATACACCATAATTAAATAATAAAAGTATGTCTGCAAAGCCGGCTGAGATCAAAAATCGATAGCCAACAATATCCTGGAAATAAACTTTGATTTTTCACTTTCATATACGATGCCGCAGCATGTATTAGGTTGTCTCGAAAGTTTTATCCGTTTTTTCAACCTATCATAAAAACACGTGGAACGAAGATGGAGAAACGCTCTCAACACTATCCGACGCATCTTTTCCTTCTCTTTCTAAATGTCATGCTTCCATGCCAATTAATCTTTTGGTCACTGAGATAAAGCCGAAATTTCGAACCCATGTTTTTACTATGTCCAAGTTTGGCAGTTTTTCACAATCTTTATTTATGACTTTCGGAAAAGCTTTGGCAACAGTCAGATAGAGCAAACAAAGGGCAATATAATGCAGTTTTGCGGCATCTATAGCCAGCCTTGGAATTTTTTTAGAATTATTTTTCTGATGCTATCAAATTCCACTCTTGATGACGCCAAAAGCCAGAGATCATGAAACGGCGCACAGCTAAGGTGTTATTCGATGCAGCTTTTTCCTCCCCTTTCTAGTGAGTGTATTTTCTCTCCAATTTGCGAGGTCTTTGGCGATAAAATTTTCATAATTCTTAAATTTGACCCCACCCCAGCGTGTACACGTAAAATGCAAAAAACTTATATTTCGAAGCGGTAAACGCTCATTTGCTTCGTAAAAATAGTGAATAATCGTAATCTATTTTTGAAAGCTTCAAAATCCGATGATTATACGCATGTACATTTCCTTGTCATTTATAAAAAGTAATATGAGTATAGAATGATTTAAAAAATGTTAAAAATAGTGGAAAAATAATCAAAAATACTTTTATATACATAGCACAATCTTCCACGTAGCCCCCCCCCCCCTTCTAGATATAACTAGGGCAGTTTCGTTTGCAATATTGATAGCTCCGTCTCATAGACTAGGCTAGCTATTTTTGATTTTATTGCTTTACATGCGAGTATATTACCTCAAATTAAACTCTTGTTAAAATGGAAAAATTTCAATAAGAGAAAAGAGACAAGAATTGCATGTTACAGTTTTTGCATTTGCTCATTTTTCTGTTTTTCCCTTAAAAAATCATGCATGAGTATGTGACTATGTTGGTGACTGACTAGTATAATACTTTGAAAACCAAAAAGTACGTTATAAAAGTTGGCAACCTACCCTATCTTGTCGTCGCATAATTTTCATGACTAGTACATAGAGTACTATAGACACAGATCCAATTCCTAGCAGAGATCCACCAGCCAAGATGTCTTCCCAGTCCAATGGTCGATCATACCAACCAGGATCTTGCATTACTGAAAGATTTCCACATAAAAACTTTTTACTGCAGATCTATGATTTTTCTTTCTCGGCTAGATCTCAGAGCGAATTTCTCTCGCTTGCGTGAGCATTCGTAATTGGAAGAAAATTGAATGTGTTTGTGGGAGAGAGAGAGTAATCTCGATGGACGTTCCATGTGGTAAGCAAAGAGCACATTTGTGTTTATAGTAGGGCGAAATTAGAAGAAGAAATCCCAGCTGGGAAGATCATAGATCAGAGATCGAATTCCCACGAATAGATGTAATTCAACGCGTTTTTAGAGTGCTTCTACATTAGTGTAGGCATCAGACCATGACAACTGGCCCCTAAAATATGTTTACCAATTTATGACCTATTCAGCCCACAAGATAATATGATTAGCTTTGCTCGACTGCATTCGATTACAGTCGTCAAAAAAAACTAGAAGGACAGGTCATAATACTGTTGTCTATTAAAAGGGTATTGATAGCAAGGAAGATGTAAACAAACGCGTCATTGGCCAATGCAGTGCTGCTTTATCAGGTTTCTTCTAAAGGTTGAAGGTTGAAAATCACAGAGGCAAATGTTTCTTACTGAGGCTTAACCGCACAAAAATATTATGTAGTTGGTAGATCACAAGACAAAAAATTTATGAAGATTACATGCTCGAAAGGGCTAAGCAGTTTTTCTTATATAATTGTCGCTACCTACTACCGCGGCGCATTGTAATAAAATTATAAACTTCTTTTTTTTTTCAAAGTGACCCCACGGAGGACGCAAGTTTTTAGTTAGGTAGTTTTGCAGGAGGATTTACTTACATAGCTTTTTTCAACTGAAAATATTTCTATTTACTTACATAGCTTTTTTCAACTGAAAATATTTCTATCTCTCAGCTTGGCAGTCTTTGGCTTTTGAAGGTTCCCTTGCATTTTCAAGGAACTTTTTTGAAAAATGAATGATAAACTCTTGGTGAGACAAAATCTTAACTTCAAAACTTTCATAGAATTTTAAAATTTGTAGTGGACCAGATTGTTCTCTCTAGATCTGAATTGTACAGAAATTTATTCACTACAACTAAATGTAACTTTGACTTTGTAGTACTAATGGCTAGACTCCCCTCGTTTTTTCTCCTATACACTTTAGGAGAAAAAACGAGGCAGACAATTAATGCTAATTATCACTTCTTTCACTACATACTAAGGCATTCCTGAAAAGGTCATAATTTCTTGCTTTTTCTGGGGAAACGTTGGGAAGGGAAATTGAAACTCAGAAGTCAAATTCTATCTAAAGCCTGTTGTTCACAGTAGTCTTGTAAAAGATTGTTCTATTTGAGATGTCAATGAGCACTCGTTGAGGACAGCTTAAGATGAAGATGTTATAGTTTTTAGAAAAATCAAGTGCTTGTGCTGTAAACGGTAATATGAGTTTTACGTAGAAATGAAAAGGTTAAAAAAAGGGTGGAAATCATAACTTCGGATAAAGCCAAGACATCATGCAATAAAAGACAAGCGTAAAAACCTGCTGGATTTAGCACGACGATGACAACAACGCTCTATCTATCAATCTCCAAATTTTGCATTGTTTGATTTTGAAGCGAAGAACAAAACGGAGTAAAACCTGGACATCTTGAGTGCAATTGAAAAATTGATTAAATAATTGTTCGAATGAAAATATAGAATTCCAATATGTATTTTTGCGTCTAAGCATAGAAAGCGGAAAAAAGCATAGAAAGCGTCAGACAGGTTCAATCAAATGTGTATAAGGCCAAGCTGGCGGCTTACTCATTCTCACTATCCCAGGAGTTCTACGAATTTCTAATTGTTATTCGCCAATGCATTGTTGTCAATGGAGAAAATCTGCCTCGCTTAAAAGCAAACAAGGAACAAACAATTCTATCCGTAAGATCCATTCCAGAAAAACTTTTTTTCTTCAGGAAATTTTACAATCTAAAAGCTCTTGACTTTTGATATCCACGAAAATTTATGCGTGCCCATCATCTGGCCAATCTCATCCTCATTTTCTTCTTAGAGTTACCTTAGTTAGAGTTACAAATATCTCATCCAGCAATCTTAGCTGAGGCTTCCAATCGACACTTTGCTCTTTGAGCTAAGTCGCAGCCGATAATCTTATAAACGTAGTAGTCGACGTTCGAATAAGTGAGGCGGGGGGGGGGGGGGCTAAGGCTCCCAACTTCCTGCACAAATGTCATTTCCATTGTTTATGGTGTAGGAAATGTTAGGTTGTGGTCTTTGTGTTCGAATATAGAGGAACTCTGACTTGTTACGAAAAGAAAAGTTTTCAATAACCTTAGAATCGAATCATGCTACCCCCGGCATCTGCCTGCGTTCTTTTCTTAGTAATTTCATTAGTCTAATGGAAAGAATACAGATCTGCGTCTCACTTAGGTTTCTTGTGAGAGAAAAGAAAAAAAGAGGAAAGGGAATTGTAAAAAAGCATGTACATCTTGTACTCTGTTTCAATGTCTTTAGAGACCCTATCGGGGCAACCGAATAACGATTTTCATAAAAACTGTTCGGAGATTTTCAACTAAGCCACCGTAAACCGATATGATTCTTTCAAGGGTAAGCAGTTTTAAGACCCTCCGATGGTAAACTTCGAGCGGACCAACCGCGTGAGCGAGTACGGTAGACTGGTTGGTTTTAACTGGACTCATGCTAAATGCAATTGTAAGCTATGACGTGCAAAACTACTTTTAGAGATTCTAGCATAGTACTTGCTTACAAATCTGAAATCTAGAGAATCTGGCTTTTCGTCCTTTCCTCTTCCCTCAAGAATGAGTTGCAAAATTCTAATAGTAACCCACATAAGTAGTAGAATCGCGCAAATAACTTGTTGTTCACTTTTGTGTGACTGAAATAATTTTTTAAAATATTTGTAACTGCCAATCAGCTCGGTAATAAAATTTTCGGGGGATAAGTCTCTTTGTATGTAAGTTTCAGTACTTAAACTCTGATTAGGTCAACCACGACTGAATAGATATCGTATTTCCCCTTCCTCTCTAGCTCACTACACTTCTTTGGCACTTTTAGTTGGAGCTTTTTCAGATTTAGCTATTTGAGACTCCAAACAATTTCATTTTGGGGCAGACCATAGATGTCGCATTTCTGCGGAATTCATGATACATACTCAGCAAAAAGTGCTTATCTCTGCTCCAAGTGAAAAGGAGTTCAGCGGGGCGAACACATATTGCTTTCATTGAATGCATCCATTTTTCTATGAACTATACAGTATGTTGGAATTCGATAACATTGCATGTAAATTTTCGCATGACCGGCTATATGTGAAACGAAAATCTCTTTTCAAAGCATTCTCTTGGCTTATAGACCTGCTAGAAAAAGACTGAGAAGACGAAAAAACACGGAGAAATTTCAAAACAATACATTCTTTGCATCTAGGCATAGTTAATATGCATTTTTATGCTGTCTGTAGGTTATAAACGTTGAATGCAAACTGTTGTTCGTCTGATATTGAGAATTGATCAATGTTATGCGTGACATAGCTGTTTATTTCAATATCTCATCCAAATTTGCGTTTGGTAATGTAAAAATATCACTAAGAAATTTTACGATAAAGGTAAAGCTCATTGTTGGGACGAGAAGGAATCTTGGGAATGTGGTAATATGTAAAATGTTATTCAAAAACTCCATATCTACATATGTTGAGAGGTTGCAATAACGATGTTTTGACCTCTTAAAAAACAAACAACAGAAAGCACATGTTCTGTTAAAGACAAAAAAATTAGAGCGCTTTTTTGATGTGACGTTTTCTGAGTTTTGTCAAACGTTTCCATTCTATTTCCTAGAGACTAATGATATAAATAGATAACGCTGTATAAAGGGTACAAATGCCCTGCTGCAATTCTGGAAGTGACCGATATTTTAAAAAATTTTGAAGATAAAATTGTTCGCATAGGCTCAGACAAAGGCAATTGAAAAACAACAATGCCGTGGCACTCAAGAATTCTTCTCAGGTTTTGAATAAGTTTCACATATTTCTCCTCATAATTATATTGCTTAATCACTCGAATCAGGAACATGGCTTTTTTTCACAACTGCTTTACAATTTGGAAATAGTTCAATTAAAAATTTCTGAGCAATTTCGCCACCTATGCTCATAAATGACTAGTTGTTCGTCGTCTGATATATGCCCTTGAGCTAAAAAGAATAAAAATTCAAAGCTCAGAGAGCGATAAGCTTGCTTGATGGCTATATCGGGGTTTATAAGGGAACACTTGCGAATTATTGCATAAAGCAGATTTGATAGATCGCAATGAAAAGGTTATCAAATTCCTGAATTGCCTTTTTTCAGCATATTAACTTGACAGACGCCAGCATACGTTCAAAAAAGGGCCTTTTATGCTTCCTAGATTTCTAATAAATCGTTCTAGAGGGCCATATATCTTGCCATTCATTCTTGAACCCTTCCTATGTCCGTTCAGAGTTCGCCAAAGCTTTCGCCTTAGTATCGCAGGAGCCCATTGTGGGTGAAAGGCGTGAAAGAATCTCCTTTGAGCGATGGCTCATCTCTATAGTAGCCTGGTACAGGGGAGAGGGAGTTGTTTTCAGCATTGTTGGTATTGGAAACATTTGATTGATGACGGGACGAGGTAGGATATTGAAAAAAGACACTTTAGACAAATTGCTAACAATTCAATGGAAATATCTCAAGCACCAACAATTTAATGAAAATTGTATGGAGGTTATCAGATGAAAAGTAAGAAACACAGGACCATCCGGCAAGTCCCAGCCAACTTTTACCTCTTCATGTGCAGAGAGTATATCTCAGAATAACGTGAAAGAATCTCCGGCAACGGCTTCATGAGAAAAATTTTGAAAAAAAATTTAGCTAAGAAAATTCAAGGTATGACCTGTTTCTGTTAGGCACGCCGGACTGCGAGACTCTTGGTAAAGAAAACTAAAGCATGATCACATCAAATCCATCTTCAAGACCCATAATTTCAGAATTCGATCTTGGTTTTCAAACACCGAGCAAAGGGGAGTGGTGTAAATGATTTTGAGAGAAGAACGTAAATGCTAAAATTTCAGTAAACATAATATCATGTCGTTTGAGTAATGCGATTCCAATATAGTTTGTTGCATGACCAGTATTTTGGGATGAATATGCGGAAACAACATGACAATAATAGTGCTGTTCTTCTGCTGACCTTTTTATTATTAGAAAACATTGGAAGTCCAGGTTTCGGGAGATTGACCGTAAATGGTGGTTTTGAGGTAAAACTAACATGTAATTGAAAAACTGAAGGTGATGAAATTTTGCAAAGACAACTGTGTTCGCAAAAAAACACAAGCTGGATTTATACTGTGGTTCTTTTTATATACGAGCAGGCTATTCCAATGCAAGGGATTTACGTCATTTGAAAAAAGATATTCATAATCATAGCTCTCCATTTACATCTACACTGAAATGAAACCTGCTATAAAAAACCTAAATTCTTGAATATCAGGCTGGGAGAGTAATGAGCACTTCACAGTTACAAATTTGCTAACCTTTTTGCAAAATCTTCCAGAAAAAATCTCACAATGATTTCCAGCTAACTTTGAAAACTCGTTTTTAGACTTTTCTAAATTGAAGAGGTGTTAGAAATCGCAAATCTTTGAATGTCCCATACTGCTCAATCAATCTAATATTCAGAAGGAGGATGACGATCAGCAATGCTGAATATTGATGCTTGAACCAAATATAAAGAACTTTCTCACCTCGATGAGACGACTTTTGCCATGGTCTGTACATTTTCGGTAGAATTTCTCTTTGTTTACTTCTCTTAGGTAGCAGCGATAAGGGCCGTACGATTAGAACGCTCGGCGCCTGACGACTAGTTCACTCGGAGGCGTGGCCAATTGAATTACTGCTACTGCGGCCACGCCCACATAAAATTATCGCAAAAGAATGGGTAACATTCGAAGCTATCGGGTATTTTTGCTCCTTGTAAGGCGTAACCAGCAGCCCCAAAAACGGCAGAAAATTGCAAAATAAATTTCAATAAAATCGAGAATTTTCAAAAAATATCAAAATTGAAGATTTCAAATTTAAACTGATGAATGGTTGGTTTCAAGCGTTTGGTCATAACTCTGCATTTTCCCCAACAGAATAGCTTGGCTCGCAAGAACCACGAAATGTCTTGTTTCTCAAAATTTTCTTCGCCAATTTTTTTAAAAATCAGTTGCAAAGTTGGCAACCTCCCACTAGAGACCCGTATACTGATGTGCGGAGATATTGTACAAGTTGATGTTATTGAGTTACAGCTTGTTTCCAAAATGCTTCTAGAAAAACTTTGGAAAAGTTTTTAAAGACCTCAAATTGCTTTATTTCTAGTCCAGCTTATGTGTATTTCTCATATTCAATTCTAGAAATATAACACAATTTTTTCCGACCCAGTCTTTCCTTGGCAACGTCTGTGCTTTAGTTTCAATGAGCGAACTCTGTCAAGCGCTGTTATACTCAAAATTTTCTTTTCCGCTAAGGCTAAATTTGACTTGAATTGTTGTTTCTGGCTTTTAGACTTCTAAAGCTTTTAGGAGGAGAAAAGTAAGGGCGAGATTTGAATCTGCTACTGTTTGAACAGCAGTACAATGAAATATTTGAATGAGCCTTTATGGTATATACAGCTGATTTGGCACTTAGACAGTTGACAGTTTAGTTTAGTTTAGTTTAGTTGACAAACATCTTACATATTTCCAGGAGAAGTTAGGCATTTTGCAATTGGGCCGGAGCGATGTTTGAAAATTTAGCGGGTAACCCTAAGGTCACGTGTTTCTTTGGATTTTGAGTTCATGTGCAGGTGGAGCCATCAAGATTGCTCCATTCATATGAAAAAATAGGCCTGTTCCATCGCAAGTTTCACGGATTCCAGAAGACTTCACCATTCGAACTACACCCAGAGTTCCCAGTGCCGTACTGGCGCCGTGCTGGAACTATTGATAGATACGTCCATGTGGGTTTCAGCACGGAATTAGTACGTTTTTCATGACCCTAGAACGCGCTGAACCGCTTCAGCACAGCCAACTTGAACGCTGCATTATGCCAAAATTGGCAGCACAGGCCTAGAAATAATTTCGTGAAAAACAAAGCTTGGGTCTAGTGCCGTTCAAGCTGACTAATCAGCGTCCTATGCTTGGATACGGTAGGGAGTACGGTACAGGGAGTCTTTAAAATCTAATTTCTCAGCTACGAATAATTCATATCAATTGCCGCTTGAACTGTTGCTTGGCTTAGGCTCATAGCTTTTAATTGCCATACGAATCCTCTTAAGCCCTATTTTAAGGCAAAGAGGGGATAGCTTGCAACTGCTTTGTTCCTACTCGTACTTTTCTTCACCAACCCCTTCTCTCTTTTTTTCGACAGGAAAGGTGGTCCTTTTGTGTGCTTTAACCAAAATACCCTAACAATCGACTTCTTCTCCAAAATTTATTCTATTTTCGAAACCAGCCTTCCTTTACATGCTATTTGATGGGAGCTATGTATAGCAATAAAACGAAATTGAACCATCTCGTTTTCACGCTTTATTTGACAGAAAATTTATGTTACGACTTTGTACATATTGCTGAGATCAATGGTCGAAATCAGATTTCTATCTATAGCATCGACTATGAACCCTTCAAATGTCAGATGCTCACAGTTTCCTCATTTTCTCATCCTTGAAAAAGTTTGTTCTGCAAATGCAGAATTTTTCAGAAAACGTTGAAAGAAATTTGCAATGAAACCCGCGCAAGTCTGAGCGTCTGAGCGCGGAAAGCAATAAGAAAGTTCGTCTTGGTACTTCCCCACAAAAAGGAGAATATTCTTGAATATTTTCATTTTTTCAAAATCACACTTGCGTTTGCAACGAACTCTATAGGACATCTCGTCATAATAAATCCTTTTGTTTTTCTGTGAGTCATTTACTTGCAAGTCTTCAATGAAAACCGAGAAACTAGCAAGTTACCTACACGTGGAATCCATATGTAGGAGCAACAGGGTTACGGTAGGATAAGATCAATAGGATTACTGTAAGTTGAACTCACTTTTTGGCTACAGATATTTTGTTAATTTCTCGTATGAAACTTTCTAATTTGCGCTGTTATTTGATTTCTGCGTTTCTCGATTCAAGCGTTTTGTTAGGAAGTAGTTTTTTTACAGTCACCATCAAACCGAGTTTTTAGCGATTAAAAAAGCGCTAGAGCACATCAACCCTACAGTGCGAATAAATCAGAATTTTGCATTTGTTATATATTATTATGCATTTGCTCTAGGCTCGTCTAATTTTATCATTGATAGCTTATCTCTTCCTGCGATGCACTGCTGTCCAGCCACGAGGTGGAAGCAAAGAAATGAGCTCCAAAGAACGATCAAACACCCTTAATCACAGTGATATCTTAGACTCTAAGCTTGTTGTACTGGTAAAGCGCTGCAGAAAATCGAAAATACTAATTAGTGCGTCAAACCGGTGTCTTTTTGCTAATCCCATGATATTACGAGCAGAATCATTCTTCATTGCATCTGAGTAACACCGTCTGCACTTATGCAATGTTGTTCGTGGAGAGGGATAGAGGAAGTAATCAAACATACGGAATTTGCAGACGTCTAAAATCTAGCCATATTGATTAATTACGAACCAGAACCTTGAAAGTGATTTTGATCTAGCGATGCCCTTTCCATCCATTTGAATGGATAAATCGTGCAAATTTTTCAAGGTTGACAAAAAATGCATGCGATCCGCGATCTCTAGAAAATGCTCAGTGATTACATTATTTCCTTTAATTTTCAGAAACTAAGAGATCTTCAAGAAATGTTCAGGGATAGTCGTATGGTTGATGGGAGAAATTTAGGTTGATTTTGACAAAATTCTTCCAGGCTACCTGTGTGTTCTTTACATGAGGCTCCGTGGGATTTTTGCTATTTTCTGCTTTTTGATTCCGACGAAACTTTCCCGTTTGCATAACCCTAAGAAATAGTTCTATCAAAATTCTTAAAAAAGTTCATTGTTGATCGTGAATGGTCTAAGACTTTCTGGTCACGTGGAACCCTATATGTGTCTGCGACAGAATCCATAGATTTTTTGCTAATTGAAATTCAATTCAACGGCTATGAAACCTAGTAGCCACAGTGACGTAGACTTATTACAGAAGCCAGCAAATTCTTAAATTCAGCGATGCAAATTTCGTTCTTTGTGTTGTAGTCTCAAAAGAGCCAGATGTGTGGATGCTCTCTGGACTTCGGCAAGCTGGTGCCAATTATAGCACGCTATACACTCGACTGATTTGCTCAAGCCATAAATTGATTTATGGCTTATTTTTAGGGAATTAAACGACACTTTTTTAACCAATTTTCGATAGAGGATTGGGCGGGGGAAGGGAGATTTTACGCACTACAATGCGCCAATTTACGGGCTATCGTCGTAAGTGCGTAAGCAGCATTGGATTACAAATGCAGAACCACTCCGAGCCCGAGAAATTCGTCACGGCGGAGCAGAAATCACTCACTCGACTCCATTCAAATGCATTTCCGCTTTTAGGAGATCTTCGGGATAAAATTGGAAGTCATGGGACTGAGGTCGGGGGAGGAAGACATGATATGGCATCCAAAGCTATTTCAGGTAGGAAGAAGGTACATCAACTGGGGGAGGGTGGAGCGCTAAGGAAGGAAAGGGATATAAAAATTTCATTTTCCATCCTTGGTATTCTACCGATTGACCAAATTCATAAATCATGGTGTATTTGGATGTAATTTGGTATATCATGTATTTTTTCCAATGAAATTTTCACTTTTGATAAATTGTAGTTGACTTATTCCTGTGTAGTCAAATTGTTCTGCTTCAGCAAACCTTGACAAAATTTGGAGGGGTGGGGGGAGGTATCGCACACTAAAAATGGACAAACAAATCAATTAGAATTTTTGCTTTAAAAGATTTCCGCTGCAATACAAATGCTTTTTTTTTCGGTGAAGATAGTAACGGTATAAATATTATTTTGCTTTGATTCTCAATCGTTCCAGAAAGCTGCTAGGTTCCCTCTAATAAGACTTTCTAATTTCCTGCCTATCCGTTCTTCCCAACAAAAATCTGCTTGGTCAGGAACTTTTGCTCTGGAGTTGATACTTTCGGTTCCGGATTCGAAAAAAAGTGCTCTATAATAACCAAACCCTACTTCCAAACTTTAACAGAACCTTTGTGAAAAAATTACTTCGTGATTTTCCTTCACAAGGAATAATGCTCTGCAAAAGCTTGATTATCCTTCCCATGATGAGGAAAATAGCAACCAAGGAAAAGAAAGCGTTAGGGGGAGGTAGGGGCAGAAAATGCTTATTTACTAGTGCTTTAGTATTAAACATTTTTTTGAAATCTTATGAGTTTTTCCCTCCAACATCTTGTGCCTGCGAAGCTAATTTTCTATGCCGAAAAGAGTAGCAGAAGATTCCATTATCCATTATCCAGATGGACTCGCCAAGGAAGTTCATGAATGATTTAGTTTGATACACAACATTTTCTCATTACATACTTTTTACCAATATTCTTCCCAGAATGGGACGGGTTAAGTTGTACAAGGAATGAAAAAGAGCTAAGACAAGGAGATCTGTTTGAGAATTAGTGATGGTGAAATATTATTCTCAGGGAAAGTTTGGAAGTCTTTGATAGAAGACTTACAGTATGCTAACTTCTTTTTTAAATTCTGCTTCTTACTTTTCTTTCACTTTTCTCTTTCAACTCTAATAGAAAAACGCTTCCAATATGTAATTGACTTATTCCGAAAAAGAAA